GCCGCATGGGGACTTGGACGATCAACGGGCGGAGACCACTTGCCGTAAAGCGAGGCCAGCCGCCGCACGGCCACACGTTGGGCCGCCGTCAGCGGGGCGTGGCTGGGCACCTGTCGCCCCTGCCCGCCCAGCTCATTGAGGGAGGCGATGCCCTCGAGAAGCCACTGGTCCTGCCGCCTCCTCGTGGCTGATCTCCGCTTCGCCGATGGAGAGGTGCCCCCATGCGCCTTCACCACTGAGCAAGGAACGAAGCTCTGCGCCAACAGGAATCGGCAGAAGGTCTCGATGACGGCCTCCGACGCCCTCATCTGAAAACATAGCGCCCACGCGGCGCCTCCCCTTGAAAATAGTCGACCGCTCGGGGGCAGGCGGGCGACCAAGCCACTTCTCGAACAGGATGAGGGCGTCAGGCCCTCTCAGCCACGCCCTTCGCCTTGGCCTTTGACCTGGCCTTGGCAGGGGCTCCACTGTCGTCATCTCCTCCACCCGGGCCGACACCGCGAGCCAGGATCTTCTCCTCGCGACCCTTGCGGCGCTCCTTGAGCACCGCTGCCTCGGCCTGGAGGCGGTCCGCCACCCAGGTCTGCAGCTCAGGGCAAACGAGCGCTCCTCCTCTGCCCCGCTCCTGGCCCAGAAAGATCTCGCGCTCATCCAGCCACGCCGAACTCCCTGAGCTGCGCAGCGCACCGCTCTCGTGCTCGCGCAGCCTGTTGGCGTAGATCTCCTCCCAGAGCTGGTAGCGCCTCGCGACCGTCTCGTACACTGCCAGCTCACCTTCATTAAGCTGGTCCGTCTGAGCCCCCATCTCGAGGAGCTCCGACAAGAACTGGTGCTCGTCAACGCCTGCGTCCGCTGCCGTGAGGTTCTGAGTCTGGCGCCACCACTGGTGCCGCTGCAAGGGCGTCTGACCGAGTCGCTTGAACTGCTGCACCAGCCACAGGGTCGTGCGGGGGCCCTTGATAGGCCAGTCGGGCATGGCGGTCGAGGACATCCGATCCACCGCATCGGTGAAGTCCCTGACGCGGACGCCACGCGCGTCATACCTGACAGGAAGCGTCCGCAAGTCCTGCTCGGCTGCCGCCCGTGGCGTGGCGGTGCTCTCCAGCGTCCCCTCTTTGGCCACAGCCAGCACGGTGCCGTCGGTGAGCTCGCAGACGCCACGGTCGCCCAGAACGGCCTCGGGCTGCTGCAGCCCGACCTCGTCTCCAGGTTTGTAGCCAGCCCGCTCCTCGGCGGCCACCCAGCGAACAGACTTGCCAGCGCCACCAGCGCGAGCAGCGCCGCCCTGAGCGGCCCCAGGGGCGCCTGGGGGCGGCGGCAGGGGAAGCTGGGCAGCATCCCCGTCGGCGGCGGCGTCGGCGAGGGCGCCAGGCGGGCCCTCTGGGAGCCCCTCGGCCTCGCGGATCTCCTTGGCCAGCTGACGGCCCTCCCCGAGCAGTCGCGCCTCGTTGCGCCTGAACCTGTCCATGTCCAGGCGCAGGATGTGCCCATTGAGCTTGGTGGGCAGCCCCCCTCGGGGGCCGATGAGGCAGAGCGCGAGACTCTCCGAGAAGTCCTCCTCATAGATGTCGAAGTGTGGGGTGACCACAATGAAGCGCGTGTCGGTAACCTTCCCGATGATATATCTTTCATGCCAGTAGTTGTCGTCTCGATCGTAGTAGGCGAGGACCCTGCACCCGATCGATAGGCTCTCCAACGCCCTGGCCGTGCGCGCTGCTGACATCAATCGGTTCCGAGGTCACGGGAGCAGAGCGACGGCCGAACACACAGGCGACCTCGCGCAGCACCGCGCCCAGTACAAGCCCCAACAGCAGCGCCAGGACCACCTCGAGCCCGGTGTGCCCGGGCGGGCAAGGGGCGCAGGCTGGGCAGTCAGGTGCAAAGGCGGGCTGCCCGTGGAGGTGCTCTGGCCCGCACCTGTCGAGCTGCCCCTTGAGCAGCCCGATCAGCGCCTCGTCTGGCGAGGCCTCGAAGTGGCAGGAGCACTCGCACCCGTGCCCCTGGCTGGTGCCGCCCAGCCAGGTGCCCAGCGCCTGCCCGCTGATGGCCGCAGCCCACTGCGCGCCAGCGCCGAGGAGCCGCCCTGCCATCAACGATGCCTCCTTCCGAAGAGAAGTGCCTGTGAGATAAACGGCGGCAGACATTCACAATCATTCCCGTGCATCACTTACAGGGCTGATTTTGGAAGCCTTTTGGCGCCTCAGGGTGGCGTTTTGGCGCCTCCTGGGATATGTTGGGCCGGAAGCTCGGATTTTTCGAGACACTGGCCTTTCTCCCCCCCCCCCCCCCCCCCCCCCCCCCCCCCCCCCCCCCCCCCCCCCCCCCCCCCCCCCCCCCCCCCCCCCCCCCCCCTTCTCCTTCTGGGACCCCTCTCGAAGTCGTCTGGGGGTTCTCTTGGGCCCGTCTTAGGGGCCGTCCAGACAGAGCCGCCACTCGGTGCGCAGCTTGGAAGCGCCCCCCCCCCCGGCTTCCTCGCCTAGGCCGTCTTGGAGGCCTCTTGGGCCGTCTTGGACGCGGTGAAAGCCCAAGATGCGAACATGCGAAAAATATACGTTTTCCCATAGGAATGGCACGATTTTTGTTTCTTGGACCTCTCTTGGGGTGCCTCTCGGAACGTCTTGGGGTGCTTTTGGGAGCCTTTTGGCGCCTCTTGGCGGCATTTTGGCGCCTCCTGGAGCCTCTTGGGCCGGAAGCTCGGAATTCGAGGTTGGCTTTCTCCGTCTGGGACCCCTCTCGAACTCGTCTTGGGGCTCTCTTCGGCCGTCTTGGGGCCGTCCTGGGACACTCATGCGCAGCCTTGGAGCGCTCCCGGAGGCCTCGTAGACCGTCTTGGGCGCCTCTTGGGCCGTCTTGGACGCGGTGAAAACCCAAGAGGCGAACATGCGAAAAATATACGTTTTCCCATAGGAATGGCACGATTTTTGCTTCTTGGGCCTCTCTTGGGCTGCCTCTCGGAGCGTCTTGGAGGCTTCTGGGACCTTCTTGGTGTCATAATAGGCGTCTTGGAAGGCATCTGGAGCCATCGGAGCGCGTTTCGAAGCCGCCTGCGAACGATCTTGGACGGCGTCCGGCGGTCCGACGAGCCTCCGGGCCCCCCGGAGCCCACATTTGCGGTCGGGGTCCCGGCCCCGGGCCCCCGGACCCGGTGCGCCGTTATATGTATATATATATATATATATACATATATAGATGCATGTATGTCTGCCTGCCTGCATGCATGAATGCATGCATGCATGCATGTAGGTATGTGTAGGCATGTGTATGTCTGCATGCATGCATGCATGCATGCATGCATGCATGCATGCATGCATGTCTGTCTGTCTGTCTGTCTGTCTGTCTGTCTGTCTGTCTGTCTGTCTGTCTGTCTGTCTGTCTGTCGGTCTGTGTGTATGTATGTATGTATGTATGTATGTATGTATGTATGCATGCATGCATGCATGCATGCATGCATGCATGCATGTATGTATGTATGTATACATCCATTTCCGAAATCGGACCTCCGAATCCCAGGCGCCCGGGACCCTCTGGACCCCCCGGATCCGTGGCCCTGGGGACCCCCTGGACGCCCCTGCAGGAGGCCCTCCAAGCGTTCCAGTGCTCCTGGAAGCCCTTGCTGGGCTTAGGCAACGGGCCCAAATCGGTCAGGAGGGCGGCCGAACGCCCCCCCGAGGGCCCCAAGAGGCCCCAGCCGCCCTCCAGGCATCACCAGACGCCCGAAGACGACCGAAAGAAGACCCCCAAGAGGCTTCCCAAAGGCAGAAAACAGTGTTCTTCGATGCTTTTTGCATGATCTTGGGAATACCCTGCTCTTCGGTCTTCTGGGCGTCCGAGATCGCCTGGGAGGCTCGAACATCGCCACAAAACCATTTGCAAGGGCTTCCAGGCAGTCCCAGAGAGCCCCAAGACGGCACAACAGGCTTCCAAGATGGCCTAAGAGAGCCCCATGACGCCCCAAGATGGCCTCAATACGCCCTCCGACATGGAGGAAGGATGCCGAGTAACATTATTCAGAACGGCGATGCCGGAAAAAGAAGCAATACGCTATTGATAATCTGTCTGTTTGGCCTTCCTGCCATTCCGCCTGTATACCAAACTTCAAGGACCAAGGTGCATGGCGCGAAGCGCCAATGCGGTCTTGTAAAAAATGTGTGTATGTATATAAAAGGGATATACTCAGAGAGGGGGAGAGAGAGAGAGAGAGAGAGATAGAGGAAGAGAGAGAGAGAGAGAGAACAAACGAGAGAAGAGAGAAGAGAGAGAGAGAGAGAGAGAGAGAGAGAGGGAGAGAGAACAAGGAATAGAGAGAGAGAGAGAGATAAGGAGAGAGAGCGGGAGATCTATGTCGGTCTACATTACTTCACGCACCGAACTACACCTGCAAACCAACAAGAAAACATTACACCGTAAAGCAAGTAGGAGCACATGCAATTGAAACCACCAAAAACGCCGTACCATTCAAACAATGTGATCTCAATACAACGGAAAGCAGCAAGAAATCATGACTGTGATTCCTACTGATTCCTATTGAATCCTAGCGTTTCCTCTCAATTCCTATTGATTCCTGTTGATTACTCTTGATTCTCAACGACTCCTAATGATTCCTATTGGGTTCGATTGCTTGCTCATGTCTCCTAATGATTCCTATTGGCTCCGATTGTTTCCGACATTTTTTCCCCAACCAACCTGTGTTGTTGGGTCCTCGTTTTGAAGTGACAGCGCCGCGCGTCTCTCTTCCTCCTCCTCCTCCTCCTCCTCCTCCTCCCGCTGCCCTCCCTCCCTCACCCCATCATCAGCATAACCGTCACCATCATCATCGTCATCATCATCATCACCATCATCATCACCTCACACGGTTCGTGGCCCCATAGGGAGCTCCACCGAAAGCCCCAATGGCTTTGTCCTCATGCGTCACCTCCACCCAAGTCGGCACACCCTCACACGGTTCGTGGCACCATAGGAAACTCCACCGAACGCCCCAATGGTTGCGTCCTCATGCGTCACCACCACCCATTACGGGACACCCCTCACACGGTTCGTGGCCCCATCGGGAGCTCCACCGAAAGCCACAGTGGCTGCGTCCGCATGCGTCACCGCCACCCATCACGGCACACCCCTCACACGGTTCGTGGCCCCATAAGGAGCTCCACCGAAGGCTCCAGTGGCAGCGTCCGCATGCGTCACCGCCACCCAGGACAGCGCTTCGTGGCCCCATAGGGAGCTCCACCGAAGGCTCCAGCGGCAGGGTCCGCATGCGCCGCCGCCACCCAGGGACAGCGTTTCGTGGCCCCATCGGGAGCTCCACTCAAGGCTCTAGTGGCAGGGCCCAAATGCGCCACCGCCACACAGGGACAGCGCTTCGTGGCCCCATAAGCAGCTCCACCCAAGGCTCCAGTGGCAGGGTCCGCATGTGTCACCGCCACCCAGATAGCGTTTCGTGGCCCCATAGGCAGCTCCACCGAAGGCTCCAGTGGCAGGGCCCGCATGCGTCACCCCCACCCGGGACAGCGTTTCGTGGCCTCATAGGGGGCTCCATCGAAGGCTCCAGTGGCAGGGTCCGCATGCGTCACCGCCACCCAGGACAGCGTTTCGTGGCCCAATAAGCAGCTCCACCGAAAGCTCCAGTGGCAGGGTCCGCATGCGTCACCGCCACCCAGGAAGGCGTTTCGCGGCCCCATGGGGAATTCCACCGAAGTCTCCAGTGGCAGGGTCCGCATGCGTCACCGCCACCCAGGGCAGCGCTTCGTGGCCCCATGGGGAGCTCCACCGAAGGCTCCAGTGACAGCGTCCGCATGCGTCACCGCCACCCCTCACACGGTTCGTGGCCCCATAAGGAGTCCCGCCGAAGGCCCCATTGGGAGGGTCCGCATGCGTCACCGCCACCCAGGACAGCGTTCCGTGGCCCCATAGGGGGCTCCACCGAAGGCTCCATTGGCAGGGTCCGAATGCGTCCGCGCCGCCGATTTCGGCGCACCCCTCGGACGCTTCGTGGCCCCATAGGGAGCTCCACCGAACGCGGTACCCACAATGCGGCACTCGCAGTTGCATTGGTTGGGTCCTTCGTCAGGTTATTGTGTAAGACATAAAGAAAAAGACAAGACACGAGAGACAGGGTTGGAGGAGGAGGAGGAGGAGGAGGAGGGGGCCTCTTCCGTCGCGCGAAGCTTTTTGTGTCTCCGAGAGAGAGATTCAGAAGGATTACTTGTTTGTTTCCCGTTGGGTTTGATTTTGTTTTATGCAGAACAGTCGCAGGTTTCCATAGCATTGAACCACGAACCCTGTGACCCTGCCAAAAAAACAACCAACAACGACAATAACAAAAAGCAGTCAAACACACATTTGAACATACAACAGACATCAACAAGTGTTCGGCATGTGAGATGGGGGGATTTGGGGGGCGCGGGCCAGACTTCTGCCGGGGTCTCCCGCCTCGGAAACCGAAACCATGCTCTTTGTCGGAAATATCACACATTCTGTTCTTTCGTGATATCACAAATTTCGTGGTCCAAAACTAACGGGACCTGTGACTGTTATTGAACAACCAACTTCGCCCCTCCTCCCTCTTCTGCCCTCCCCGCTACTTCCCGCTCGGATCTGGAAAACATTTGATTTTTGTTTTGACGTGAGTTGCAAGATGTTTGATGTTGTCTTTTGTTCTTTCTTTGTGATTCCAACAGTTTCGTGGTCCAAGATGAGGGAAACCTGCGACGATCATTTCGAAACAAATCAAAGCCACTTGGAAATCAATAACCCTTTAGACTCTCTCAAGAAACAAAAAAACTTCGCGCGACGGAAAAGCCCCCCCGCTCCTCCACCCCTGTCTCTATATCTTTCTCTCTTTCTCTATCTCTCTCTCCTTCTATCTCCCTCTCTCTCTCTTCCCCCTCTCTCTGTCTTTCTCGTTCTCTCTTCATCAATGGGAGTCAATGGGAACCAAGTGGAATCAATTGAAATCAACAGAAAACAATGGGGATCACTAGGAACCACTAGGAATCAATCAGAATCGCTGGGAATCGTTCGGGACACATGTCTATCAATCATAAGCCATGGGAATCTCGCC